ATATTTCCCCCCCTCTACATGATGGTCCTTCATTTATATCCTCCTTTTTTGTTTTGTTTTGTCAGACATGGGTGTTCCATTGCCATTCAAATATTGTAGGTGCTTGAATTCAGCAAAATAACCCAATGAAGTCCAAAACAGTAGTGGGTTATCAGCAGAACTGGCAATGTCAGAAGTTGACTTGAGTCCTTTACAGCTCAGCATTTTTTTTTTTTTTTGGTCTTTCTTTTCTTTTTCTTTTTTTCTTTTTGGAAGGGTCTACAGGGTGTTCAGGGTCTCACTACTAGATGGGACTCAGAGTGACCCGCCTGTTTACAGCTTCCCGAGAGCTGGGATTACAGGCACGTGCCACCACACCAGGTCTTAATCACTGTCTCAGCACACCCCGTGGGTGGGGCAGGCCCAGGATGCCCAGGGATGAACCCCGAGACCCCTGAGCCTGCTTGCAGGTGCTTTAAACCACTCAGCAATTAGGCTAGCCCTCCAGCTCAACGTATGACTATGGCTTTACTTCTTGTACTTTGTGGTTATACTTTTCTGCTGCATGGTTAAGCCCAAGTTAAAGCAAGACCTATATAACTAAAAATGTAACTTTTGTACCTGACAAGGTCAGTCAAATCCCCTCAGGCTTTACCCTGAAACCATGTACAACAGTTTGTAGATCCTTTGTCAGTGTCAGCCATCTGGATGAGTCATGGCCATTGCTTGACCAATTTGCTCTCTCTGAAAGCCTGAGAGAATGTGTTCTCTCTAGGTGACTCGCCTTAGGCCCACTCTACATTGTCGATCACTTCCCTTCTTTTCTTAACTTCTCAGTTCCGTACAGCAGCTTAGCTAGGCATGAACTCTTTATTTCATATAAGAATTCCTGAAAAGACCAGCTGAGCTCAGACCTTCCATCAATTCAGTTCTGTGTTAGCTTCAGAAAAGACACATCAGTTCAGGCTAGCTTCAGAAAAAGGTTCATTCTGGTTTTTTATTTTTTCATAAGGCATCTTTTAAAATATTAAGATCACTAGGTACAGTCACTATATCTTTTCTGCCACAGAGTTTAAATCCCTAGGCTTACCCACTGAAGTCCTCCTTGTTCAGGAGTGTACACAGACCCTAAAATTGTGCTGTTTCAAATGTCTTTATAATATTCAACTCATCCATAGTATAATACTTTTAATTGTTTAATTCTGTAATATGTCAATTTGTTTAATTCCCTTTCTAAGTAAACAGATATTGAGACATAATCATAATTCTTTAAAAAGATTTGAATCACTAA